CATTGCTGACGACCATGGGCGACAGTAACCACTGACCATCAGACGGGCCGTATGCAGACGAGTCTACAAGGGTAATGAAAATGAAATGGATGCATTGACGCCATTTCAATATCGTAATGAAACAGTTCGTTGTAGATTTAATGGCTGGAGTGCACATTCTCACCACGAAACATGAATTCGTACCTTCGTCAATACCTAAATTGCTTAGAAGCTGTAAAATATATTTTATTTTATAATGTACATATCTAAAATCTATACTTTTTTAATATATAAAGCTGAAGAGTTTGTTTGTTTGAACGCACTAATCTCAGGAACTATTGGTCCGATTTGAATTGAATTGAATTGAAATTCTTTCATTGTTAGATATCCCATTTATCGAGGAAGGCTATAATAGGCTATATAACATCACGGTAAGACCAATACAAGTGGAGCACCAATAAAGAATGTTTCAAAATATTTTCACTTTCTACGTAAATGAAGTGGGGGAATTCCTGGCTGAGCTTTTGCTCGCCCACCTGTCCTGGTGAAACTGGAAAGGCCTTCGGGCCTCCAGTAATATTTCAATCATAAAAAAAAAGTGGGGGGTAAAATTTAGCGTTATGCCAAAGTAACTACATATTCCACGCGGACGGAGTCGCGGCCAAAAGCTAGTTTAACAATAACACTAACTAATAGAAAATAAACTCAAGCTCATTTCTCTAACATTTCATTCTCGCAATCAAAGTTAAACTATGCACAGCTAGCTAGCAGAATGGAAAATGTTTGCCCGTTTATGGCGAAATTTCACTGTTACTAGAAAACGTGGTACAAGTTAATGGGTACTGTGTACTAAATGAGCAGCGAGTTTGTTGCATCGTGTGCACTGAAGGGAAACAAGAAAGTGTTTAAGACCTAATATTTAGAATAAACTAGCTGACCCGGCAGACTTCGTAGTGTCTCAATCGATAAATAAAATACCTAAACTTTTCTATAAAATAAATTTCAAAACAAATAAAAGAAATCCGTCCGACGGGGGACACATCAAAGGAAAAATAAAATTGTTTTTTTTATTCAATTCCGAGCAATTTCATATTTATCTACCTTTCAAACCTTCTCTGGACTTCCACAAATAATTCAAGACCAAAATTAGCCAAATCGGTCCAGCCGTTCTCGAGCTTTAGCGAGACTAACGAACAGCAATTCATTTACTATTACTATTACTGGTGGTAGGACCTCTTGTGAGTCCGCGCGGGTAGGTACCACCGCCCTGCCTATTTCTGCCGTGAAGCAGTAATGCGTTTCGGTTTGAAGGGTGGGGGAGCCGTTGTAACTATACTGAGATCTTAGAACTTATATCTCAAGGTGGGTGGCGCATTTACGTTGTAGATGTCCATGGGCTCCAGTAACCACTTAACACCGGGTGGGCTGTGAGCTCATCCAACCATCTAAGCAATAAAAAAAAATAAAAAAATATTATATACATATATATAGATAGATAGATAGATTTACTCATGAAAACGAGAAGTTTTTTTTCTACCTAATCGCTGGTAACCCAAGTGGCTACTCTAGCTACACACGGACTGATAGGTGCGCTCGCTGGCTTAAGCTGAGTGAATTTGCTAACACTGGCCCTAGCAAGAGCAGTCGGTCTACCACCGGATAGGAATCGCGACCCACTGAAAAGAATCGGCGAGAAACTCAGTGGTTTGTGTCTACAGGCTAGTTCGCACCAGGACCTGATGGCACTGACCCTAAAAGCACCAGAAGAAATCTTTGTTGCACATACAATAAACAGTAAAAGAATTCCATTCAGGCATAAACATAGTGTACATGCCAATGGTAATAACACGGAAAAAGCACTCTACAATAAGTTACAATAAGATTCCTGTAGTTGAACTTGAAACATAGTCAATATATTCAGTAATAAAAAAATCGAGGACATTGAAATTTAGCTTATTGTCTGCTGTTCTATCTGTATCATGTCTAGGCGAGTATACTATCAAGAATCAAAAAGAATATTATTTTACAAACCCCCGAAAAAAATCTACCATTTTCACTATGGTACCTAAATTGTGTTGATAACCCTCGACCCAATGAGTACAGTAGGATTATTATTTTAAACTAAGTATTTTAAATCATGGCAACTTTATCGGTCGTTTAATATAAACCCATCGTTCTGACGTGTACGATATTTATCACTCTAAAACTTGATTTTCCAGCAAAATCTCAGTTTTACTTTCCATATAACTGGTTTTTTACACCTGCCGATCATGTCCTACGTTTGGACTTGAGGAGCAACATCGTTTAGGTTTTTAATTAATTTACGTAACGTAAATAAAAATGTCTAATTAAAAAAAAAAACATTTTATTCTCAAACTCTTGGAAACCGTAAAATGTTTTTATCACTAGATAGTTGAAAATGTGAAGAATTAGGTACCTACTTTTTATTAAAATCAATATGCTATTAAAAGTGGTAAATTAGCGTAGGTACTCATATTCACGATAAAAGTTTTTCACATTATACAAGGTTGCCTAATATTGAAATACTTATTTAAAGCTGGTATTCTCTCGGTATGTAGTAGAAATATCCTGAACTACTTTTCTACCCAATTAAAATGTTGCAAGTCGACGCGGGCCCATTCTACCATCCTGAGTATTTCCGTCGCTTAGCGAATATGCGTTGGGCTTGAGCTAAGTCGAGCGTTGACCAGTGTACTTGACTATAATCTCATATCCTCAAAGTGAGGAATGATATTTATGATCTCCAGTAAATTCTTCACGTAGACTGCGAGGTTTTTTTTTCTTTTTTTTCTTTTATTGCTTAGATGGGTGGACGAGCTCACAGCCCACTTGGTGTTAAGTGGTTACTGGAGCCCATAGACATTTAGAACGTAAATGCGCCACCCACCTAGAGATATAAGTTCTAAAGTCTCAGTATAGTTTCAAAGGCTGCCCCACCCTTCAAGCCGAAACGCATTACTGCTTCACGGCAGAAATAGGCGGACTAGTGGTACCTACCCGTGCGGACTCACAAAAGGTCCTACCACTGGTATGAACCTGTCGTTGGCACATCTGAACTAGTAAAGCTATATAGTAGATAAAAAAATTCTTCCACTGCAGATCATTTGTAACTCCAGGCAGCAATTAACTGGTCTTATCTTTGTAGTAAACTAATAAAAACTGGGGCCAATATCAATAAATTGTAAATTGTATCGTAGAACATGCTACACTTAATTAATGAGATCGTAAAATTTGGTATTAACAAATGCCTTTGATCGACTTTCCGAGGGATGATTATTAAAATAAACTTGGATTAGAAAAACTTGTATATTCAATAAAAATCAATAATCTACGGATACAGTGTCACTTATGACAAGGGTATCATGACAACGGATTTGCGTATTACAGCGCTCTCTAGTGACCGTTTTAAGAGTTGGAAAAAACAGGGTGAACATTCCGCCCACCATGAACTACTAAAGTTCATAGCCAACAATGAGGCCATCAAATTTTACATGTACAATTAACATCTCCATGAAACCGTAACATCTTAACCTAATAGTAATCAATAAAGAACTGTTCAACATGAACTAAATATAAATTTACACATTAAAGAAACCATAATAACGACAAGTTCAGTCAAGGGTTGCTTTTAAACAGTTCGTACTTACTTACAACTAAACAATAACAAAATACTTAATAGCTGATGCATCCAAAGATACATTTAAGTTACATACATTGCATGAAATATCTACAGTTATTCAGGTAAGTAATGTTAAAAAGCGATAGGCAAAATGCAAAGTTTGGAGACTGGTCTTACAATTNGACGAGAACCTCGTGAAGGCAGAAAAGGACAAATTAATAAAATATTTAGACCTGGCCCACGAGACTACCGCCATGTGGCATGTTGATTCAACCATCATTGTTCCAATAGTTGTGTCGGTACACGGCTTGATGGCGAAAAGTTTCGATCAACATCTTAAGAAACTTTCGTTATCCAGCTGGGTTAAGGGCCTAATACAGAGAGCAGTTATCCTTGATACTGCACGCATTGTGAGGAGGTTTCTCACTCTGGAGTCCTAACCACTGGTGGCTTGTGTCGTAGACACCGCCATCAGTGGCAATCTATTATTACATAGTGTTTTTTAAAAATTGTATTTTTAATATCTTTTTAAAAAATATTATGTAACTAATAAGATTTTAAATAAATATAAATAAATAATAATAATAATATATATATTAAAAACCGTTTATTTGCGAACGTCACAATAATGACAGCCAATGACAATCTAATCATAGATAATACAATTAATATTTAAGAATTAACAGATATGTGAATATAGGTAGTCATGGTTATTATTTAAAAAAAAATGTAAGTAAGTAATATTGTTACATTAAGCAAAACTAAATTATTTGCATCAACGGATGGTGATGGTGATGCTGTAATTTCTTAATAACTCGGGATGATTTGAGCATGAAAAAAATTATCTCACATTTTAAACGTAGATGAACAATAAAGAACATCAGACACGATTGATCAAAAAATCAATTACAGTAACTTAAAATATAATTCTTCTTCTTATTAGCCCACAGACGTCCATTGTTGGACATAGGCCTCCCCCAATTATTCGCGTATAAGTATATATTAACTCATGTTCCTATTAAAAATGCCATTTTCAAACCAACACTGGTATTGATATTAGGAGCGAAATTATAAAATCGTCATTTGTCCTTGATGCGTGTGTAAATGCATCGGACATCTTGAAACCGGTGAGAATGACGTTCAAAGATTCCGTTGCACACAAATCGACATATCGAGTTAATAATCAAAGCGCGTTCAAAAAACAACCTCGCAGTGAAACCACAAAAGGATACTTACTCAAAGCCTTTTGCATTCTGTTCCTACAAAGAACAACGCGATTTCTTTATGGTGATTGTCATTTGTCACGCAGAAAACGTTCTAAATGCGTTTCACTGGCACGTATTCCATACAGCCAGTAAACGAACTACCCAATACCTATGTATAATTTTGTAGATACTAACTAGTCAACTAAAATTGGTACGATACAGATAATATTAGCATGGTCCCTGCGCAAGGATGACACGCAAAATCGTGAGGCGTTCTACATCTTTCGTTCTTCAAACGAGGCTTGTGGAGATTACTGAACAGCAGACAGCGGCTTGGCTCTGCCCCTGCTGACGTCCATAGGCACGGTAACCACTCACCATCAGGCAGGCCCGATGCACATGAGCCTACAAGGGCGATAAAAAATGAAATGGATGCATTGACGCCATTTAAATATCGTAATGCAACAGTTCGTTGTAGATTTAATGGCTGGAGTGCACATTCTCACCACGAAATATGATTTCGTACCTTCGTCAATACCTAAATTGCTTAGAAGCTGTAAAATATATTTCATTTTAAAATGTACATATCTATACTCTATACTTTTTTAATATATAAAGATGAAGAGTTTGTTTGTTTGAACGCGCTAATCTCAGGAACTACTGGTTCGATTTCAATTGAATTTAATTGAAATTTTTTCAGTGTTAGAGAGCCCATTTATCGAGGAAGGCTATAGGCTATATAACATCACGGTAAGACCAATACAAGTGGAGCACCAATAAACAAATCAGGGAAGATTCAAATGATTTTTTTTTTAAATTTACTGACAATAACGCCACGTTAACTGGTCCCGTAATAAGTTCGTAAGGAACTTGTGTTACAGGTACCAGATAACGGATATAAATGTAAGATTTTATACACATACATATATTTTAATATACATCCATAACCCTGGAAGACATTTATATTTATCATACAAATATCTTCCCTTGGCGGGATTCCCGTTCCCGTTAAAGAAGACCAATAAAGAATGTTTCAAAATATTTTCATACGTAAAATTCTACGTAAATGAAGTGGGGGGTAAAATTTTGCGTCATGCCAAAGTGACTATTCCACGCGGACGGAGTCGCGGCCAAAAGTTACTTTAACAATAATACTAACTAATAGAAAAGAAATTCAAGCTCATTTCTCTAACATTCCATTCTCGCAATCAAAGTTATGCACAGCTAGATAGCAGAATGGAAAATGTTTGCCCGTTTATGGCGAAATTTCACTGTTACTAGAAAACGTGGTACAAGTTAATGGGTACTGTGTACTAAATGAGCAGCGAGTTTGTTGCATCGTGTGCACTGAAGGGAAACAAGAAAGTGTTTAAGACCTAATATTTAGAATAAACTAGCTGACCCGGCAGACTTCGTAGTGTCTCAATCGATAAATAAAATACCTAAACTTTTCTATAAAATAAACTTCAAAACAAATAAAAGAAATCCGTCCGACGGGGGACACATCAAAGGAAAAACAAAATTGTTTTTTTTATTCAATTCCGAGCAATTTCATATTTATCTACCTTTCAAACCTTCTCTGGACTTCCACAAATAATTCAAGACCAAAATTAGCCAAATCGGTCCAGCCGTTCTCGAGCTTTAGCGAGACTAACGAACAGCAATTCATTTACTATTACTATTACTGGTGGTAGGACCTCTTGTGAGTCCGCGCGGGTAGGTACCACCGCCCTGCCTATTTCTGCCGTGAAGCAGTAATGCGTTTCGGTTTGAAGGGTGGGGGAGCCGTTGTAACTATACTGAGATCTTAGAACTTATATCTCAAGGTGGGTGGCGCATTTACGTTGTAGATGTCCATGGGCTCCAGTATCCACTTAACACCGGGTGGGCTGTGAGCTCATCCAACCATCTAAGCAATAAAAAAAATAAAAAAATATTATATACATATATATAGATAGATAGATAGATAGATTTACTCATGAAAACGAGAAGTCTTTTTTTCCCACCTAATCGCTGGTAACCCAAGTGGCTATTCTAACTACACACGGACTGATAGGTGAGCTCGCTGGCTTAAGCTGAGAGAATTAACTAACACTAGCCCTAACGAGAGCAGTCGCTTAATCTACCACTGGATAGGAATCGCGACCCACTGAAAAGAATCGGCGAGAAACTCAGTGGGTTGTGTCTACAGGCTAGTTCGCTCAAGGACCTGAAAGCACTGACCCTAAAAGCACCAGAAGAAATCTTTGTTGCACATACCATAAACAGTAAAAGAATTCCATTCAGGCATAAACATAGTGTACACGCCAATGGTAATAACACGGAAAAAGCTCTCTACAATAAGTTACAATAAGATTCCTGTAGTTGAACTTGAAACATAGTCAAAATATTCAGTATTTCAAAAATCGCGGTTATTGAAATTTTGCTTATTGTCTGCTGTTCTATCTACGCTCTTTCTGTATGATGACTAGACGAGTATACTATACAAGAATCAAAAAGAATATTATTTTACAAATCCCCGAAAAAAAATTAATTTAACGAAAATTTTCACTATGGTAAATTGTGTTGATAACCCTCGACCCAATGAGTACAGTAGGATTATTATTTTAAACTAAATATTTTAAATCATGGCAACTTTATCGGCCGTTTAATATAAACCCGTCGCTCTGACGTGTACGATATTTATCACTCTAAAACTTGATTTTCCAGCAAAATCTCAGTTTTACTTTCCATATAACTGGTTTTTTACACCTGCCGATCATGTCCTATGTTTGAACTTGAAGAGCAACATCGTTTAGGTTTTTAAAATCATATTTTCGTAACGTAAATAAAAATGTCTAATTAAAAAAAAATCATTTAATTCTCAAACTCTTGGAAACCGTAAAATGTTTTTATCACTTGATAATTCTGAACGAGGGAACCGGTGGTCGTGTCGCTGGCGGCCACCGGTCCGGCGTCCGTGGGATGGTGGGATGGATGTAATGTGCTCTGCGTCAACCCTGTCCCGCCGTTTCAATAGCCCCGACTGGGCTCCGGCCCGGTCCGAGGTAGGGCGCCGGTCGTGAGCGGCAGGAGTTTTTAGTGAGGTTCAACTCCCACATACCCCACCTGCCGCGCGGGTGGGGATCCGGCGATTTTCTCCTGCGGAAAAAAAAAAAACATTTGATAGTTGAATATGTAAAGAATTAGGTACCTATTTTTTATTAAAATCAATATGCTATTAAAAGTGATAAATTAGCGTAATCATATTCACGATAAAAGTTTTTCACATTATACAAGGTTGCTTAGTATTTAAATACTTATTTGAAGCTGTATTCTCTCGGTATGTAGTAGAAATATCCTGAACTACTTTTCTACCCAATTGAAATGTTGCAAGTCGGCACGGTAGCATTCTACCATCCAGAGTATTTCCGTCGCTTAGCGAGTATGCGTTGGGGTTGAGCTAAGTCGAGCGTTGACCATTGTACTTCAGGCTACAATCTCATATCCTCAAGGTGAGGAATGATATTTATGATCTCCAGTAACTTCTTCACGTAGACTGTGAGGTCGTTAGCACATCCGAACTAGTAAAGGTAGATAAAAATGTTCTTCCACTGAAGATTATTTGTAACTCCAAGTCAGCAATTAACTGGTCTTATCTTTGTGGTAAACTAATAAAAACTGAGGCCAATATCAATTAATTGTAAATTGTATCGTAGAACATGCTACACTTAATTAATGAGGTCGTAAAATTTGGTATTAACCAATGCCTTTGTAACTTGAATGAGTTAAAATTCTTCATAGACACGAACTTATTTAAAAAAATCTTAAAACTAAAAAGAGACACCTACAAAGATCCCTTTGTCGAAATTGAAATTTCGTTTTCGCGCCTTTCCTTTTTCATGTATGTATTTATTTTAACTAGAGGTCCCGCAGTAGTCGAAATTCGACTAATAATTAATTGGAATTGTAAGTTTGTACACTATTAAAATTGTATTTTATATTTCTATAATCACAAATTTCGCCAAGACTACACTATAAAAAATATTAACAAAGACAAACAATGTTTAATATATTCTCAATATGAAAACAGACGTCAAGAACAAAAGTTTGACAATAAATAGTATGCATGCGTGTGTGCGTCAAATACATGGTAGGTAGTGTGTGTAATGTTTTCTTTATTGATTTAATGTATCTCATATGCATTATTTAAAAGAAATATTAGCATTGTGCACTTCTTCTGTATATTCTCTATAAGTGTGGAGAATTTCATACTCCTCCGTCCGCGCAATTTTCGTAAAAAGGGATACAAAGTTTTTGCATCACGTATTAATATATAGATCATATTATTAAATAACAATTGCCAGTCTACTTATATCGGGCTTTTAAAAATTTGGTAGCTCATTACACAACTGTATTTATTATACATACAATTTTTTTTTTATTGCCTTTGTAGGCAGACGAGCATACGGCCCACCTGATGGTGAGTGGTTACTCTCGCCAGTAGACTTCGGCAATGCTAGGGGCAGAGCCAAGCCGCTGCCTACCTGCCTATATAATCACTTAAAATACTTGAAAACAAGTAATTGAAATAAAAATACACAATTAAGGCAACTCCAGGTATAAATAATATCGAGGGATAAAAGGCTATTTGGTTTAAACGATATTTTTGCAACTTTACAGGAGAGCCATTTAAAGTTTAATATTTGGAAGCAATATCCTAACAAAATAACTTCTTCAGCTATGTATTTGAATGGGGTAAACATAATTCAAGCTCAATTAAAAACATCGAATTGTTGATCTCTCTCTCTTCGATCGGTTCCTCACTGCTGAGGATCGTGACTCCGTCCGATTTCGTCAACCAACTGTCTCCATCGATCCCGCCCTGCAGCCCGGTGGAGTGCGTCGCTGATAGGTATCCCCAGTTCCTCCGCTATTTGGTCCGACCATCGTTTGGGACCTCTACCCCAAACGTAATGTCGCGTATTAAGCGAAATGTGGCTTAAACTGGTGGTAGGACCTCTTGTGAGTCCGCACGGGTAGGTACCACCACCCCGCCCATTTCAGCCGTGAAGCGGTAATGCGTTTCGGTTTGACGGGTGCGGCAGCCGTTGTCACTATACTAGGACCTTCTATATCTCAAGGTGGGTGGTGCATTTACGTTATAGATGTCTATGGGCTCTAGTAACCACTTAACACCAGGTGGGCTGAGAGTCCGTCCATAAAAAAAAAAAAACTAAATAACCTGTAACTCCTCGATATAGATTATTTTTTAAAAACATTTACTCTGTCCAAATAATTCCAGGAAGGAAACATGAGAATATCTGAGTCTGTATGCGTAGTGTTTAAATATTTACGTAAATCTATGTTGATGTGATGTGATGAGTCATAAAAATCGTAAAATGCTATGCTTAGAAAATTTATTATCACGAATTTTAATCGTGAGATAAAAAGAAATGGTCAAGTTAAAAGGTGATACGCAGCGAGGCTTCAGTCTATCACGATTGTCATGGTTCAAGGGTCATTGTTGGAATTTGTGTTAAATAATTGTGATTATTTCCATCGAAGGCATTCTTAACATTGATTTCGGAAATGCAAGAAACAAAGTCACGCAACTGCCGAGCGGTCGATGAACTATTTTTTTTTATTGCTTAGATAGGTGGACGAGCTCACAGCCCACCTGGTGTTAAGTGGTTACTGGAGCCCATAGACAACGTGAATGCGCTACCCAGCTTGAAATATAAGTTCTAAGGTCTCAGTATAGATACAACGGCTGCCTCGCCCTTCAAATCGAAACGCATTACTGCTTCACGGCAGAAATAGGCAGGGTGGTGGTACCTACACGTGCGGACTCACAAGAGTTCCTAACCACCAGTAAGCAAGAGTAGTAACTAGCTACAAGAAATGAAGATCATTTCTTCAAGCTTGAGAAGTGAAAGATCTTTGAAAAAGTTCTAAAGGTGATGGTGACTAAAGGTGTGATTTTTCTCAATATTTTTACGTATATTTTCGCATTATTTTCGTATTTTTCGAGTGGTCACTTATAGTTGGAAGGCATGATATGTATAAGATCTAAAGATACATCAAATTTTAAGATTAATTCTTTTAAAATATTTTTTTTGTATTTAAAAAAATCCATAAATATAAAAATAAAAGTGGGCGTAAATAGATTTATCTCATTAACAGATGGCCTACAAAATTATTAGATCGCCATCGTCAATAACATGTGTTACATACAATTCAATTTGTTCGCTTTATTTTTTTGCTTAGGTTTTATTATTACATTTTTACTACAGCAAAGACCAGTTACTGTTGTACACTGGTTATAAAATTACAAAGTATAAATTAATTAGTTACAAAGTATTAATTATTCAGTACAAAGTTTTATCAAACAAACCAAACTGGTTAGTTTTTTATGTCGACAAAACTTTAAAAGTTATAAATTATACCGTATTTCATTTACGAACTAAGAAAATATCACTATATTGTTCTCTTTGTCTAAAACTGGCTCCGAAACATGCTAAGCAACTTTATTCGTCATAGTATAGAATCTGGAACAGCAGCGGCAACCGACCAATCATTGCATGTACGAACTTCACTATGTTCGTTCATTTGTCGGTGGATTTGACGTTTCTAGTTTGTGTCAAATGTCACTTGTTGAAAACAACACGTTTTGCTAGTTGCCGTACAAATAACCTAATATTCTCACAAATAAAATGTCCATGTTAGCTGGACCTCGCCGAAAACAGAAAGTTATTAATTTGCGTGCTAAAAATAACGCGTGGAGCAATGACAGCGGGAAATTTGGGCAGCGTATGTTGGAAAAAATGGGATGGAGTTCTGGGAAGGGGCTCGGTGCCAAAGAAAACGGAATTGTTGAGCACGTAGTGGCGAGATATAAGAACGATGACAGAGGATTGGGGTACGAGGATAAGAATGACCAGTGGACGAAGCATGAAGACGATTTTAACTCATTACTGGCCAATTTATCAAACGGTAAGTTCGTCTTTTTCAATTAAATTTTTCTTTGTGTGTTGAAAGAATCGGCTTTATTATTATTTAATAACTTTTTATTCTACATAACAAACGATACTACAATCTAAAAAAAAGACAAAGGCAACGTGTGGTCTTATCGCCGAAGGCGATTTCTGCCAGACAACCGATTAAAAAAAAATTTGTGTAATACAATAAAAACTGTTAAGTGCCTGCCGTGTATATGCTATGGAATCTTCACAATGGTATTTGAGGCTACTAATCCGATGATACAAATATGTGATCAATGTGTATTTTCTCTTGAGAAGCAGTAACATGTTCTGATTTCAAGGGTAGGATAGCCATTAACACAATTGATAATATGACTCCATGTTTAAGTAAGTTTCCCTTTCAAATGTATCCTGATCTTCCAACCAGGACCCAAGAATTATTTCAAAAAATATATTGGACTAACGGTTATAGCTACTTAAGTAGGCTCATACCAACTTCTTGAAAATGTCTAAACTTTGGTATGGTGACCACACAGGCAGACCCTACTCTATGCGTGTAGTATGAATGGGTAGTGTCTGATGAGGCATCTGTGTTGGTCCGGCTTGTTGAGTAAAAATTTATGGAACAAGTGTTCAGAAACAACTTCCACAGTGTGGAAATTTCAGAAGGCAATTACAGATTTCCATTTATAAAGTGGCGAAATACAGGTAGTGCGGTGGAAGTATTATAAGTGCGCTAGTGCAAGTGACACTGTTATGTAAACTCATGTACTAAGTTATTTTGAAAAGCTGGACCTGTAGGACAGCCAGGCAGGATTCAGATTAAAATAGAGATGTGGATGTTGTGTCTAGTTTCTTAGTGACTATTTTCAAAATGCACTAAAATCATTAAAATTACAATTAATCTAATGTAATACAGTCAAAACCGTTTACTACGACATCGTTTAATACAACATGCCGGTTATAATAACCAAGAACAAAGGTCCCGGCTGAATGCCATATGACCGCCTTATTAAAAATATTGCTTTCTACGACATTGGTAATAACGACATACCTCATAAAACGACCACATTTAACTAATATTTCGGAGAATTAGATCTGTTAGAACGACCGGCTAAGCTGTATTGTAAACAATTTGAATAGGTATCCACATTTGTCTTCAATGGCTTTTAAAATCAGGAAAGAAAACAATAGGATTTAGTTTAGTGTAGGGTCTTTTCTAATTCTTAGAAACAAAACACGTGCATGCGGTAGTCAAAGCCCGCTTCTTCATATCTCTTCAGTTAGTTTGTTACTTATCTATACACAAGACGCACCAAAACTTTGTGGAGTTATTCGTGAAACTTTCAAAATCTCGCAAAGAAAAATAAAACAAATTAATATTGAAGAAAAATCGCGTATTATATAAATATATTTTTCCAATAATTCCCTATCGATTTGTTTGTACTTGCACGATACACACATCACCGGTTGTTACGACTATCGGTTTTTACGACTGAATATGAGCAGTCCCTTCGATGTCGTTATAACAGATTTTGACTGTAATTACATCATACTTAATTTGAAATAACATTTAGTATTCTATTGTTTGTAGATAATGGAACTGAAGCAAAACTCCACAGTGGAGTGTCCCTGGAACATAAATCAAAGAAAAGCAAAGCACGTGTGCACTATCATAAATTCACACGTGGCAAGGATTTAACTCAATATAGTGAAAAGGATTTAGCTAATATATTTGGTAAAAAAAGCTTAACAAATGATGATAAACCTCAAGAAAAAGTACAGGATAATGTAAAAGAAAGCGATCAAAAATTTACTGAGAAAGGCAGTATGGAGGAGTATTTTAAGAACAAGTTAGCAAAGTTAAAGACTAATGTAAAAAAAACCTATGGTAATGAAGATGATTATAAAGCTGATTATGCTTTTAAAGGATTTTCAAATACTGACGATAACGTTAAAGAAGAACAAGAACATGAATTTAAATCCTTTTCTTTCTATGGTGTTCAAAACAATGACAGTATTAAACCCGAAGAAGAACAGGAAGTCAAAAAGAAAGCAAAAAAGAAGAAAAATAAGAAAACTGATGATGATGAAATACTTAATGTTTGTACTGAAGAGATAGCGCAATCCGAAGAACAGTTATTGTTTGTAGAAAATGTACCTAAAAAGAAGAAAAATAAAAAACAAAGGGCTGAAGTTGATGTTCAACACTTAGAACACAATGAGCAGGAAATTGTGAGCCGAAAAAAAATTAAAAACAAAAATATTGTAGTTGAAGTAGGTACTAATGATGAAGGATTGGAAGATAATGTGATAAATTATGTGCCTAAGAAAAAGAAAAAGAGAAAAAATAAAATTAATGAATAGTACATATTGTAGTATTTTATAATTTTCATTTATTTTTTAGAAAGTGTAACCAGAACGTAATAACTATTAAAGCGCCAAGAGTGAAAATATATTAAAAACTAGTATTCAACTAAATTGAGTTACGTGGTTACTAATGATCGAACAATTTTAGTCGATTAAAGTTTACTGGCAACGATATTCGGTACCACTCTAATGCAATGGTTTCAATGTCAAACGTCAAAAACAAGATGGCGGAACGTCGTAGCTTGTACGTTGTGGGCGTGATTCACATGGTGGTTCTGAATTATTAAACAAAATTATGTTTTTGTTGTTCTTAGTTTGATATTGTTTATTTTTTAGTAACAACCATAATGGTAGTACATAAAGGTAACGATGAACCTATGGAAATACCAATAAATAAAATGTCGCAACGTAAGAGGTTTGTTATTGTAAATAACCACGTGAAAGAATTGCAAGGAGAGCAAGATCACACGAATAAAGCGAATGAAAAAGAAATTTTTAAGGAATGCTCATTACAATTGGATAAAATGTCGAAGAATTCTGAACAAAACTATCAAGTTAATAGATTTCAAAGTAAAGAAGAAATAAACCAATCTAGTGAACTCAGTGAAACAGACTTAAATGAATTAAAAGATGTGTACAAAAAGTGTAAGACAGTGCTAAAGAAGATAGAAAGAAAATATGGACATTTATTAAACACGGAAACCAGAGATCGCAAAAGAACTTTAGAAACCGACTCCGAAGACGAGTGTCGATGTACTAAAAATAAGAAAATTGTCTTCGGCGATGATGGCACACAATTACCAATCGACATGCCATTCGAAAAACACATATGCCCAACAAAACTCATACATTACCCGCATAGGGAACAGAGAAACATACAAATCGAATACCAAGAAGAAGAAATTAAGTTATCTGATAATTTAAACGAGTTAGCCCATGAATTAAAAGACCCTAACTTGAAAATCACACATCGGAATAAAATTATTGAAAAAATGAAAAAAGTCAAACAGGAACTTTCGAATGATATCAAATTTAATAAACGAGCATTGGTAGAGAACTTGAAATCTAATCCTGAAGATATTTTTGTTTTTAAGGGTAGCAATTTGTTCAGTTTACCTGGGTATAAGTATTGATTATAATAAATAATTGTTTAACTCGAAGCTTTTTTTATTGATAAAGAAAACTGTTTAATTAGCGATGGAAATTCATAAGAATAATTGGCTAAATCTAGAGTAGATCGAAACTAAATAGTTTAAATAAACTGAGTGAAGTAAACATTTACTGTGCTAGCTGGTCAGAATGCAAGGCATATTTTAATAGATTAAGAAAGACAAAATATTGTCAAAATAGTTAATATTTTTTGGTCTTCATATACCTGAATTTGATAGTTATAAGGCATTATTATTGTATTTAAGCTGTTTACATAACAAAAATTCCCTATTGCATGTTGTAATGGATATACTGGAAATACAACACAAGGAAGATTGACATCTGACAAGTGGCATCTATAATATGTATTCATAGTAAACTTCTAATATGCAGTGTGATAACAGAAAATATATACATATATTTTTTTTTGTAAATGTGGGATTACTGGCAGCTCAGGTGCCTTCCTAGTGTCACAAGGGCAGGTGGGCGAACAAGGGCTCAGCCAGCAGGGGTGGGATTTGCTAACATCTACCTGAGTGCCTCCTCAAAGGGAGACCTAACAATCCAAAAGTAGCTGCTTCATGAATGAGTGTACTACCGGATCAGAATCGCGACCCGCTGAGAAGATCCGTGGAGAAACACAGCGGGCTGATGCATGGCTTAGGATACATACATACAGCTACAACGATGGTAGTGGTATAATAGCAGGAACAAAAAGAAAACAGTATAGGTGATTTACATAACAATATTAACATAAAATGCTCACTTGATTCTCAGCAATCTGTAAAGTTGTGCCCTTAACATATTTAACGGTAGGCAGCGGCTTGGCTCTGTCCCTGGCATTGCTGAAGTCCATGGGCGACGGTGACCACTCACCATCAGGTGGGCCATATGCTCGTCTGCTTATAAGGGCAATAAGAATAAAAAAAACTGGTCTAGGATATTTTTACTGATTGTAAAGTGTATTATCAGCCTGGGTTCCACCATTTTATCTCTTTTCTTTTTCTATTTTGCCGTGAAGCAGTCAAACATTTTAGTACGAAGATTTGAAACGGAACTTGCTTCTGAAGAATTTGGGAGGGTGCTGATCTGCAATAAAAAATAAGAAAACATTTTAGGCATCTATTAACACCATAAGCGGCCGAGTTAATAAGTCAGTTAATTCCACATACAAATACTAGAGGATTGGGCCTTTACCCATAAAGCATTTATATGATTTAATTGAAATATTGTAGATCCATGATTGAAATTGGGCAAATGTGGTTACAGTGTGGGCACTATTGACATGACAAGACCTCATTTTTTTTATTGTTTAGATTGGTGGACGAGCTCACAGCCCACCTGGTGTTAAGTGGTTACCGGAGCCCATAGACATCTACAACTTGAGATATAAGTTCTAAGGTCTCAAGTATAGATCTTACAACGGCTGCCCCACCCTTCAAACCGAAACGCATTACTGCTTCACGGCAGAAATAGGCGTGGTGATGGTACCTACCATTTTTTTTTTTTTTTTTATGGTTGAAATATTACTGGTGGCCCGGAGGCCTTTCCAGTTTCACCAGGACACGTGGGCGAGCAAAGGCTCAGCCAGGAGAGGTGGGATTTGCTAATAGCTACCCGAGCGCCTCCGAAGGAGACCTAACAGCTCAAGAGTAGCTGCTTCGCGAATGAATCTACTACCGGATCGGAATCGCGACCCGCTGAGAAGATCCGGCGAGAAACTCAGCGAGCTGATTCATGGGTTAGGTTGCACGGCGAACTCTTTGTCGAGTTCGACGAGTACGGTTACCGAGGTACCTACCCGCGCGGACTCACAAGAGGTCCTACCCCTAGTAATTACGCAAATTATAATTTTGCGAGTTTGATTTTTATTACACGATGTTATTACTACACCTTGAAAATCAATTGTGGACGTTTGTTAAGTACGTATTTCATTTCAAAAATCGGTACCCGCCTGGGATTCGAACACCGGTGCATCGCTCAACACGAATGCACCGGACGTCTTATCCTTAAGGCCACGAAGACTTCAATTTTTGAATGTAAAAAAGAAAAATTTGCGTAAGAATTATAAAAAATTGACATTGATTAGAATAATTATATTTGAACTTAAATTAATTTTGTAGACCATTTAAACTGTCCCTAAGAAAAGTAAGTATCAAATTGAATAGTTCTTGGTAGGTATTCAATAACAAATACTCAAGTCAATAGGCTACGTTGTGCATCTCAATAAGTACGTTATATTGTGTAGCGCGTATGCGAATGCAGTGTAAATTTAGATTCTAATGTCTTTGACTAGAGTGGTTTTTCCTAATAACGTAATGATTAGAATGAGAATGAGTACAAATACCAGTACATTGACCGTGCTGTTATAAATTCATTATGAATTTAAATTCCAGGTCTTTCTGTAGAGCATCTGTGTATTTTAAGTATATTAAATAATAATAATAGTAATAAATATTTACTAACAATCACGCCACGTTAACTGGTCCCGTGATAAGTTCGTAAAGAACTTGTGTTACAGGTACCAGATAACGGATATAAATGTAAGATTTTTATTATACACATACATATATTTAATATACATCCATAACCCTGGAAAAGACATTTTATATTTATCATACAAATATCTTCCCTTGGCGGGATTCGAACCCGCGACCCCCTTGTGTAGTGACCATGTCACTTACCACTACACCAGACGGCCGTTCAAAATAAGTTACGTGCAAATACCTAAACTTTAATCCTATGAAAGGATTCTTTAGCTCAAACCTTAAATACCGTTACTGTTTACAAATCTACATGTAACTACTTACTGTTGATGCTGATCATAGGGAATGCTTAAAGCTGGAATAGACCATAAAGCATTTTTTTTATTGCTTAGATGTGTGGACGAGCTCACAGCCCACCTGGTGTTAAGTGGTTACTGGAGCCCATAGACATCTACATTAATCTGTATTAAGCGTATTAAGCGTAACATTAATATTTGCCAAATCTAAACCGCTACATGCCGACAAATATCAACACTTCAGAGCAACAGTAATCCCAGTGATTCTCAAAAAATAACAAGCGTGCCATATTAGATTAATGTTTACGCTATGTCATTGTACAACCGTTCAAGTAATAGCGTTATGATATAAAAACAGTAGTTACACGCCCACCGGTAACGGTTCCGCGCTAAAATTCGAAGTATTTAGCTGTTGGAACATTTGTACTTGTACGACTTTGGTCCGTGTTGGACTGTTTTGTCAATACTCCCAACCAACGCCAAATTGCGTTACACAGTTTTCACACCGCTAACTTAAGTGTAAACAAACGTTTTCATGTACCACATTTCAATGACTAACCAGCAACATTCTGAGAACGTAGTTCATTACGGATATTAACATAGTCAACGCCCGTCTCGGTTTTGTAACTTAATACCTAATGACATGGAGGCAAAGCAGCCTCGAACGAAATAATCTCATAATACATGGCGCGGCTTCATCGTTGACACGCATGCCTTGCGTCTTATTGGTGAATAATAATTAAAAAAAAACGCGTGATAGTTTGAACACCGAATGATGCTATACTATGTATTTGTAATCAAAAATAATGCGGCAAATTTAAGAATTTGGTTGTTCATTTTGGCTTATGTATTTTGATAAGTTTGGTGAAGTGTTTTCAAAACATTCGGACACAATGAAATTAGATAATTTTGGATTTGAAAAATTACAGGTATTGTTACTTTAATTGTTTTTTTTTTTGTTTAATTTAATTGTTCTGTTATTCTTTTACTGGTTTGTTTCATAATATACTATAAAAAATTTAACTGATAGTGTGTGATATATTTTTACTTAAGATTTGTCTATGCGTAATATTAATTACAGATTATGAAGCAATTCAAAAAGTAACAGTCATAATGCGAAATTTCTTTATGTATCAAGAGCAATTTTGTACAGAAAGCAATCCGTTAGTTTAACACTAATCATACCAACACTTACCTGGTACCTATTTCTATCATAGCGGGTAGGTAACTGTATACGACAAGTATTACTCCAAAAAAAAAAAAAAACAAAGTGTAACTGTAGATTAATTGGTAAGAAAAAGTCTTGAAGTCAAATGTGCAAAAGCAATAAGATGATACGTGCATTTTCAATGCAAACGTTCAAAATGTGTCATTTTGACCCGTTATGGTATGTTTATGGTTAAGGGATTAGGGTTAAGGGTTATCTTATAGTTTCGTATATCATAACGCATACCGTATAGACATGTACGATATTATAAATTAGCACGTATCTAATTGAATACAATTAGCCTAGTCGGATTTTTTATTAGACGAAGTCAACTGACGTTTACTGTGTTGTCAGTTTTTGATGAAATAAAAATAGTGTTGTGACAAAGTGAACGATTGAAAAAACTCCTGAATTAATGAAATTGCCTCGATTGTTTAGTGAATAGTTAGTGTGCCGAACTGCCGATATCGGGCACGGGGTTCGAATTTTAGCCGTGTTTTGTACATACCAACGAGTTTTCGACGAAACATTATGTTCCTATGGTATCTACCTGTACTGAATACCGAGTGTTTTAAACATTAAGAAAAACATTGCGAGGAAGCTTGTAAGACTGTCCTATTTCCAATGCATCATATAGTTGAAACTATAGATGTATAAAATATAACAATAATAGGTACATAGGTAATGAAAATAAAAAAACTGATTGTAGTTACATACTACTAGTAACATATTATTATATTGGAGCACTTTAATACAATTTTATTGTAAAATATAAATAATATTCTTTTATAGTTTGAAATTAATGATTAACTCTTCACACTCATTGTTCATTTATGTGATTGAACGAGAACTGAACGCATCACTATTACTTTAAATATAGCAACATTATTTCACAAAGTGANAACTTGTGTTACAGGTACCAGATAACGGATATAAATGTAAGATTTTTATTATACACATACATATATTTAATATACATCCATAACCCTGGAAAAGACATTTATATTTATCATACAAAT